AACAAGCGAAAAAATAAAATTATTTTAGAGCGCTAAACTGTTGCTTTATAAAGCAACAGTTTAGCGCTCTAAAATAATTTTAGATAATTACCTAAAATTAAATTGTGTTTGTTAAGAATTTTTTATTTTTTAACTAGGTTTACCCATAGTTCTTTGTTGTCCTGCAGGACAATGATTTTTTGATTTACTTACACAGTCTGTGTCACATATCTTAAATAAGTTAAATATCTTAAGTAAAAAATAAATTCCGGCATTCCGGCCTGAAATATTATAATTCCGGCCGGATCCGGAATAACCTAAAAATCTAGGGATGTACCGGAACGGTACACCCATAGAAATAACCAACTTATAAACAACAAAAATATTTCAAATTTTTTTACGTTCATATGTATGACGAAAAGATTCTTTAAAAAACTGTGATAAGAGAATGGGAATAAGAAAACCTAAAATCTTAGCCTCCTATGTCCCAAACGTGAGAGCAAAAAGTTGTTAAAAATTTTTTTTACTATTTTTAATTAGACTTATATTCATCGAAAAATTTTAAATTTATTTAAATTTTAAATATTTTAGTGTTCAAAAATTATGACCATATAAAGTTTGCATACCCCTCAAATTGAGGGGGGTTTAAACTTGATATGGTCATAATTTTTAAACACTCAAATATTTTATTTTAAATTTTTGAACACTCAAATAATTTAACTATGAAATTTAAAATTTTTTCGATGAATATAAGTCTAGTTGAAAATAGTACAAAAAATATTTCATCAATATTTGCCATTTGTTAACTATAGTTCAAAACTTGCTCAATATGCTAACTCAAATGCATATAGAACAGCTTTGAGGGAGGGGGGAGGGAGAATACCTTACACCTCCCCCCTTCCCTTCGCGATAGCCCTGATTATTATAATGATAATAATATAACAGTAATAATAACAATAAAAATCTTTTTATTAAAGAAAAATAAAAAAAATTTAAAAAAAAAAAAAATGGTTTGCTATAGAGAATAACTAAGCGGGGGTGATTACATAAAAAATAGTTTATAGTTTATTTTTTATTTATTACATGTTACATAGTTTAATAACAATGCCACAAACTTTAGAGCCATATAAACTTTACAGGATGATGAAAACGAGGGTATTTGATTGAGACTAAAAGAATATTTATATGTTTTTTATTTTTTATTTATTTTTTATATATTTTTTAGATTTTTACGTTTTTGTTTTTATTTTGGAGAATATTTTTTTAAGTTTCAACAGGAAAAGAGTTCCAACAGCGAATTGATTGATACTTGATTGACGTTATGCGACACTTATGTGTACATAAGCATCGCAGGTTGTTAGGTTGAAAGTGAATTATTCTTAATGATTTATTCTGGAAATTTGTAAGATTTTTTTGATAAATAGATGAACTTTGTCGCCATATCTGACAACCATAGCGTAGATGGGAATTAAAAATAGCATGCTAAATATGCACAAGGGTTTCGTAATTCACAAAATGCTTTATTTTGGTGAGCATTCCATTCACTCGACTTTTTTGATATGGATTTAATTTGTTGGATGAACAAAAGATTTTCATCTCATAATATGCCTAGTTACTTTATTTTACCTACAATATTTAGTTTTTTACCACTAATTCTAAAATTAGGTTTTTTAGTATTTTTTTTTTGCCTTGAGGTTTAAATAGTACTAATATCAGTTTTTTTACATTTAAAGATATATTGTTTGATTGCAACCATTGAACCAGTGGTTCCAGGCCATAATATATATATAACCAGCTTTTTGACATTTACAGATATTTTGTTTGATCGCAACCATTAAACTATGCCAGGTATTTATTTAGCTTTTTCTAAGACTTATCTACTATCAGGAGGTTTGTGTCATCAATAATATGATTTTCGAAAACTTAACACATGTGTTTATATCATTTATGTGGATAAGGAAAAAAAGGGGATCCAGAGTTGAACCTTGAGGAACACCAATATGTGAACTTAGTGTGGGATGAGATATTACCAATAATAATTCTCCACCATCAAACACTCCACCAGCAAACTGTTTTTGGTCCAAAGCCTTGCGCATGATTTCAGTTATAGCTATGAGTGCTTGGTTAGTAGATTTTTTCCGAAATGAATATATTGATAAGCCTCGTTGTTAAGTTTATTTCTGTCAAAAACTTTGCTGTATTTTGATTGAGCTTTGAGAAGAATAAAGTTGTTATCTGAAAACTTTGCTTAATACATGTTAACACATTTCGCTGACCTATTACGGTCAGCATCATTAGGTGTAATAAAAAATGTTACAAAAATTGTTACAAAACTACATAAACCAAACCGTCAAAATGGAAGACAATACAGACGTAAAATAAAAAAAGTTTTTATAAATAATATACTGGCGTCAGTTAAAATTTTGATCAAAAATAGACTCCAAGTTCTTTTGTTTTCTATAAGTTCCAAACAGAGCCGACGACAACGGGGAAAGCACGTGCCCCCCTTTTTTTTTTTTAAAGAAAATTTTAGATATAGAAATTTTTTTTTAAAAATTGACAATTTTGCCCCCCACTTCGAAACTCGTTTCTTCGGCCCTGCCAAACACTATTCTGCATGATTGATTTAGTTTGTTGTAAATTTCTTTAGTTTTGTATTGCTAGTACTAGCCCTCGCAGAACAACAGTTAAACAAATAACTGTAAATAAAGGCGAAATATAATTTTTTCAAGGATGTTAGATTTAGAAAAGGCCTTGCCTTATTATTGCGATACTTTTTAAGAGTATCTAATTTACTTTCTTTATGGATAAGTAAAATGAAAATAAGAAATCACCCGTTAAAAAAAAATTAATAGAGCTAATCTTTGGTACAGAGATCCAAAATCATGTCAAGAACCCCGTAATTTGCGTGTGTGTGACACGTTTTTATTTGTGAGTGTTATTAAAAATTTTTTTCGTTTATTTGTAGTTATTTTTTAATAAAATATTTATATTCATTTTGTCGTTTTTATTATGATTATTAATATTAAGATTATTATATTTATTAAATCATTGTTACTTTTGCAGTAATTGTTTTAGTTACATGGTAGGTTGTTGCGTTTTGTCAGTACATAGCTCTTTGTAACTTTCCTGTCTGTGCATTATATTCAATTGTTATTTTAAAATTGATATTGATTTATAATTATATTTAAAATATAATTTTTTTTTTATTCTTTTCAATGAACGCTCTATATAAGTAACTCATTTGAACCAAATTAAATAAAAAAGTTTCTTATTGGGAAAAGTTGCTTATAGGGAAAAGTTTCTTATTGGGAAAAGTTGCTTATAGGGAAAAGTTTCTTATTGGGAAAAGTTGCTTATAGGGAAAAGTTTCTTATTGGGAAAAGTTGCTTATAGGGAAAAGTTTCTTATTGGGAAAAGTTGCTTATAGGGAAAAGTTTCTTATTGGGAAAAGTTGCTTATAGGGAAAAGTTTCTTATTGGGAAAAGTTGCTTATAGGGAAAAGTTTCTTATTGGGAAAAGTTGCTTATAGGGAAAAGTTTCTTATTGGGAAAAGTTGCTTATAGGGAAAAGTTTCTTATTGGGAAAAGTTTCTTATTGGGAAAAGTTTCTTATTGGGAAAAGTTGCTTATAGGGAAAAAAAGAGTATAAAAATATTTACCGTCTGGAAAATATTTTTAATTATTTCTTTTACTAACTAAACTGTGTAGAATAAATAAAACTGTGTAGAATAAAAAAACAATCAAATTTTAATAAATCCTTGTTTTTGGTCAGCACTAATTGCCAAAACAAACAAAAACAACTACATATATTTGTTCATCATAGCTTTTTCTCTTATTTTTAGTAACAAAAGAACCTCATTGCAGGGTAAGTCATTTTCTCTTTCACATTCTATCACCAAAGCATTTATAATATTATTGATGTTTTTATTGGAGTCATCTGACATTTTTTCATTTTTCTTACAGGGGTATTTCACTTTCTACTTTAGAATTTTCTTTAATGTTAAATGGATGATTTGCTTCGCTTTTTACCCTTGCCCTCTTCATAATTTTAATATCTGCTAAGTTACAATCATTAAATATCGAATTAAACGATCTTGCCAAGAGAATATCATCTTCTTCTGAAAATTTTAACACTTGACGAAAAAAGATGTTTAAATGAGTTTTGTATAACTGACACAGAAATTTCTTTCCGTGTCTGCGCCACTAAATAAACAACATCTTTCAAATTTATGTTTTTTAGTATTAAAACTATTCCATCTTCACATGCAAGTAGATGTTTGCAATAGCGTTGTTTGGTGTGTTATTAGTAGGACTTAACTCAAATATTTAACTTTAAAAATATAAGTTGCTTGTATAGAGCAGTTGAACTAAAAATTGCTCGTATAGAGCTTGCTTGTAAAGAATGTTGCTTATAGAGAGAATGCTTATTTAGAGCGTTCACTGTAATTGTTAATTTATCATCATTAGTATTATACAAATAATAATTATTTGTATTATTAATGCTATTTCATGGTATTTACTTAAGATTAGTTTTTAACTATTTGTAAATGATCTCGATTGTAAGATCGATTAGCGGCGCAGTGGTTACAGCGCTTGAATTATAAGCAGAAGATCAAGGCTCGAAATGAGCTCTGGACATATTTTCGCGTCATGGTAAGGAAGGAGGCGTGAACTTCCTGTTTTTATTTTATTTTTTTAATATTTATTTCGCCTTGTTCAATAAATACAATTTTCATATATATACAATAAAATAAGTAATGGCTGTAGCAAAAAGAAGACATAATTCTGTCTTATCACTGAGCCCCATTTTTATAAAATAGTGATATATAAATATATTATATTGGCGTAATTTCTAAAATGCTTACATTATCTGCAGTTGTAAAAAGAAAAAGAATGCAGATGCAGTTGCAGTTGAAAAAAAAAAAACGATTATATACTTGTAATAAAATAAAATAAGATAATGCAAAAAAAAAAAAAAAAAAAAAAAAAAAAAAAAAAAAAAAAGATATATACATATATTTATATTAAAAAAGTAATATACTTTGTTATTAAGAAAATAAAAAAACTTTGTTATTGTGGGTTGTGATAATAACATTCTTTTAAGATTTAATGGTTAAATGCACTTTCGCGGTGCTCTGTGATTAGATTGTTAGATTTTCTGGGCGCACCTAAAAAAAAAGAATGAAAAAAAAAGATCTTTTATGGTAAAAATATATATTGAATTTCGGTCACGGGAAGCTTCTAATTTGGGCATAAAGCAGGGCACATTGGGAAAAATTAGTTTTATCAAAAATAACTCCTAATATATTGTCGGAAAGATAATTTAATTCTCTATAACAATTATTTAAACAACATACTTAAAAATTTAATTTTTTGAATATTCTTGGGAAATCTTTTTATTGCGAAATCTCACGATTCGTTAAAATTTGATTGCTTTGCAATGAAGTATTTTAGTGTTCAAAGAAAAGTAATTTTTAAAGAGATTATATTTTTAATATCAAAAAGTTAAATATTGCTGAAATTGTTTGTATACTGTCATTTTTGGGAATAATTTTTGTTTAAATATACTTTTAGAATGGAGAATGTATGTATAGAGTTATTGTATTATATGTCAAGAAGATGTTCTCGGAGATTCCATTGTAACTGTGCAGCAAAATTCCCTGGTAACTGTGCGGCAAGGTGTTCACAGCTTTAGCCATGATACAAAACATGATCAATTCACAGAGCTGACATATATAAAATACTCCCGTTCGCACACTAAACGATAAATACTTTACTTTTATTATTAACAGAATATATATACTGAGTCAGAAAAAGGTGTATATTTATAAGTAATTATGTTTTTAAGGTATAAGTAAGTATATTTATAAGGTATATATATAAGTAAACTCAAAGAAAACCTGGTGTTAACCCATTTTTGGCGTAAGTTTTTCGTGAATTTTTTTGTTTGATTATGCCATAGTTTCTGAAATGGTAAGAATGTACTTCATTTTTATTTTTCTATGTTCATACTTTAAAAAACATTGTTTTTAATCTAAAGAACTTTGACTAAATATCCAAAGTTGCAAGTCGTTTAGTCTTATAGAATGTTAACTGCATAAAAAATCAAGGTTAGCATCTTTTTTACTACTAAATTATTCGAATCAATTCCTTTTTTATACAAAGAACATACTGTTTGCATATATGAAACGCAAGATCAATCAAACTATCAAAATAATTATGCGTTCGAACCGTGACAGTTTCGAATTTCGAAATAATATTCCAAAATATGGTTCTCGTTTTTATTCTAAACAAACAAAATTTAATGGCTCATGGATTAAAAGTTTCTGTATAAAATGAAAAAAAATTTTCCTTTAAGTAAGTTTAGTTTTAAAAGTAACTTTTTATTCATTTTTCATTTACTATAATTTATTCATTTAATTTTTGAATTCATCGTTATTTATATTTTTAATGACGTGTTTTCGCTTTTATTTCGGAAAAAAAATAGCGATAACAACACTAACTGAATAGAATAGACTAAATTTTTTATGGCCAAATTTTTTCAACTAAACTGTTTTCTTTTAGGTATGAGAACATAATAACATCATCTTATTTTTAACTAACTTAACTTAACATTATGTCAAATTTAAACGATAACAAAGAAAACCTGTTGTCGTTTCACTTGCGGCATTTTTCCAAGAAAAATAAACCACTTAGTCCTTTTGTTTCCAAACTTCGTTTTCTTCTTAACAACCCAAAGTATCGACACGCTATACATTGGTCTGAAGATGGCTGTTATATTGTTGTCACTGATATTGAGTCTTTTAGGCAAAGTATTCTTGAAAACGAAGAAGAAATGTTTAAAACCAATAATTTTACATCATTTGTTAGGCAACTGAATTTGTATGGTTTTCGTAAAATACCAAGTAATGGAAAATGTGACCCAATGAAGAATATGAAGTTTGAACATCTTTATTTTCGAAGAGAGCAACCAGACTTAATGCATCTTGTACATCGGACATGTTTACCATCAAGACGACGTTCTGATATTGGAATAACATTAAAAAACACTCAAGCGTGCCACGAAACTCTTTCTAAAAAAAACATTGAGTCAGCAGTAAAATCAAATCATTTTTTAAACCAACAAGCTCCTTTTTTTACATCTTATTACAACAACGAACATGAAATAAAAGATATATTTTTTGAGACACCGATTAAAAATATTCTGCTAGAAAACAATTGCAAAAAAAAGAAAGAGTTCGATTATACAAAAACTTTAAACGATGGCTTTACAGTTAGACCTACAAGCGTATTTCATAAGATATACAAGGAGCACGACTATGCCATTTCAGGTAGCTCTTCTGATGTGCCTAATCAGGATTTAACTAGCGCTGATATTATTGTTGACGAAAAGTTAACATATGCCTTTCTTAATCGCAACTTTAATGAAGAAAAAGAGGTTGTCCAGTCTCTACTGAGTTTAAAATACTCTCGGTCTATTTCCTCTAAAACAAAATGGGATGCTTTAAGTACACTAGCTGATGTTTCTTTGAAACTACCGCACAACGAGACATCAATCGCTGATGAATTATGCTATTTTAAAAATCATGCAACTGAGTATAGTTAAGCTGGAATTAAGAAATTAAATTGAGAGCTTGGTTGAAATAAAAGTTGTTGTACTTTTAGTTGTAGTATTTAATGTTTTTTCAATTTTGTTGCAATCTTATTGAAATTTCATTATACTATTGTTGTAAATTTTTACAATATAATTTTTTTGTCGTTATGAATATAATCTAATTTTTTAAACCAATATACATTTGTACATAATAGCAACTATAATATTGATATGTACATAATAATTTATATAATAAAGTTGTATTAATTTATTATTTATATAAAAAATATGTTTAAAAAACTTTCTTATTTGTTCGTTGTACCTTTGATTGCCCATAAAATTGATTGGTTGATCAAGCATAATATTGATTGGTTGATCAAGCAAAATATTGATTGGTTGATCAACCATAATATTGATTGGTTGATTAACCATAATATTGATTGGTTGATCAACCATAATATTGATTGGTTGATCAACCATAATATTGATCGGTTGAGCAACCATAATATAGTCTCAAGTAATTTATTGTGAAAACAGTAAGTGTCATTCGAAGTAATATTACGTGACAATACTTTACAACTGCTAACTTTGTTTTAGTAAATAGTTTTAAAACTGTGGAAAAATTTTTTATTTTTTTTGCTGCAAAATAAAATCAATATCACCTCTCCATTACTCTAAAAAAGCAACTTTAAGGAGGCTACACTTTTTTGTAATTTTATTTATAACTCTTTCTTTCAACCCTAAACTTCGAAACACGGATCTTTTTAAATATAGCTGTGCGCGGCATAACTAGAAGCGTAGTGTGTACTTGAACCATGGACCTTTAGACTCTGAGCAGAGATTTAGTATTACTAGTCTAGTAGACTAATATCAGAACAAAAATAGAAGTTTTTTATTGGTGTCAACAGTAAATTTTGACAAAAAACGTCTTTTATTAAATAAGGGTTTTCAAAAGCTGATTTTAAAAAAAAATTTATATGTTGGTTTATTTTAAACTCTTTTGGTAACTATTGAATTTTATATCTAAAATAGTATAACTATAATTGTGGACATTTTACTAGAAGAGTTGCTTGCCTCAGAAATAACACGTCATTGGACGTATTAGATTTATTGAATTCATTGCCAAAAAAGTAAAAAGAGAGGATTAGTGTAACTGTTGTGGATATTTTAAAATCTTCTAAAGTTTTTAAAATATCCACAACAATGGATATTTTGGTAGCTGGTCAATCTTAAACTAACTACTTAGAAGCAAAAGACAGTTTTGTTGAAAAATCAAAATTTAATAAAAAGATTTTAATTCATAGTTGGAAATATTATTAGACCTCTTTTGGAAACTTACATAGCTATACAGTACTATTTACAGTACCCTAAAAATTAAGGTGCTAGGGCCAAGGCCAGCGCGATAGGGGGTGTCACACACCCCCCTCAATGATTTTTAGTCGGCAAATTTGACCCTTAGTTGGCAAATTTGACCCTTTTAGACTAGTTAGTCGGCAAATGTCGACCCTTTCAATATAGGTTAGTCGGTTATTCAGACAGTTAGTAGGCAAATGTCTTCATGGCAGTCGGCAAATTTTCGAAAACGATGACCTTTTTTTTTTAGTCGGCAAAAGTTGTAATGGCTACCCCCCACGTGACACCTACTCATGCCGGCCCTGGCTAGGGTCTTACTTTATTTCTAAGATTTTGATATTTTTACTTCAAAAACTTCTAATTAGACTCCATAAAGGCGAGACTCGTTATCACTGGTGATAACGAGTGAAACAAAAACAAACTTGTCATCTCCAAAATTTATTTTTATTGAGTTTGATGATTAATGAAAAGCATTTATATATTTTTAAAAAATGAGAGAACCAAATATGGATCCTTCTGGATCGCCACATGTGATATTCATTAATAGATGAGATATATAATATTTATTGTAAGCTAACTGGTTTCGGTTAATAAAATAACTTTTGAACCATAACATCATTTAATCTTAAATACCATAAGATATTATTTTTTTTAACAGGATTTAATGATTGATATCAAATGCTTTTGATGAATCAATAATCAATCGTACTGTAAAATAAGAGTCTTTGAAAGAGTCAGTTATATTGCGCGTAAGTTAAAGAATGGCATGCTCGGTTAAATTATTTTCTTTAAAACCGCTTTGGCTTTCGTTTAGTGTTTTATTTTTAATTAGAGGGAAGTAGATTCGGTTATACATTATTCTTTTTAAACTTTTGAAAAAAGTGGAAAAACTGAAATAGGGTATTAACTTCTTATATTTGTACGATCCCCTGTCTTAAAGCTTTTAGTAATTTTTGCTATTTTTAGTTTATCTGGAAAAGATCCTAGTGCAATGAATGAAAGATATTTTTTATAAAATCTCAAAGATTTCATAAAGAATATCTTTTGTAACATTGTAGGAATAAATCACAATGTTTTTGTTGATATCATCATATCCAATTATTTTTGTTTCGTTTTAATGACTTAAAATCAACTTCAAATTTATTAAAAGTTTAGTCAATAAAATTTAGGTTAGAGTTTATTTTTGTTCCAAACTCATTAACAGATTTATTTTTAATATATGCGCTTCTAAATTGTTAGTTTAAGATATACCCCCAACCAAAATATCCATTGTTGTGGATATTTTATGTATATATATACATATACATATATATATATATATATATATATATATATATATATATATATATATATATATATATATATATATATATATATATATATATATATATATATATATATATATATATATATATATATATATACAAAGTTATATATACAAAGTTTCTTAATGATAAAATACAGTTTTTAGTTAATATTTTTGCAGGAAATGGACACGATAGATTAAAGCTTGAAACAACTGGTAAGAACTATATTCAGAAAAAAAACAACCATACTAAAAAAAAATATAGTAAAACAGAAAAAAGTAAATATACAGTGGAACTGAAAAATTTGAAATTTTTGTAAAAAAGTTTGAAAGTTTTGAACTTTTAATGATAAACCTCACCTTTTTTTAGTTATGCAAACCAAAATTTAATTTTCAAAAAGTATGACACACCCTAATGTATAACTTCTGCTTAAATTAACTTTGATGCAGTTTCGAAACAAGTGCTGAAATATCATTTTGATTTTTTTTTTCAAAACTTTTCTTATTTTCAATATAGGTCTTTTCAAAAAAGGTATGCTTACCGATTCAAATGTACGTTGGTTCACGCATTCTAAAGAATTTTTTTTTAATCTCACATAGATAATGTTTTCCAGTCACACAAATTTTTTTGTTAAAATTTCCAATATTTATAAAATAATTCCAATATCTATATCATACATTTTTCAAAAAAATTGAGCAGTATAAAAATATTAGGCTGCCAAATTTCCTATTACCATTAGAGGTCCTAAATTATGTAATACTTTATTAATTAAGTTTATAAAATATTTAACTCCCTCCCCCCATCCCATCTGGAGGTGTGGTGTAGCCTAGTCACAACTCTTTTTGTATGTACGTCTTTTGAAAGTCCTTTTTGACTTTTTTGTCTTTAACAACGTCTTTTTTAATTTTATTTTTATTATAAATAACTGGCAAAATAAAGATCTTAAAACTAAATAACTCTTTTCTTTATTAAAGTTCTTAATTGAAAGACCTTCTTTTTTTAGGGGCTGTTTATATGGAAAGCGAGTTGACTTGCTCGCCGAGTTAACCCGGAAAACGAGCAAGTTTTAAAATTGGGTTAATATGAATATGTTCACTCTTTTACGCGAAAAAAAAAAATTGATATCGAGGTCATCCTTGTTTTTTGTTGTCGGGCTGGCCTCTTTATCAATAAAATAATAATTTCAAAGATGGCGGCTGTGGACAATAAAACACATTGTATTTTAATAATTTGTTTAACTTCTGTTATAGCACAAATAATGCAACTTAAAAACTTAATAGTGTTGTATAAGCTTCACAAATTTGAGTTGGATAATTTTTTCAACATTATTTTTTTACGTAAACGTTCAAGATCACTTCAAAAGGTGAAACAAGTAAATAAAAAATGCCTAAAAAGAAAAAAAATGTAGCGGCTGATTTAAAACTGGCCTAACTGATTTATGGTGGCAAAGTATAATAACTGGTGTAGCTCCCAGTGATGCGTTGAAATAAGTTTTTAGGCTTTTAAGTTTTCTTTTCATGGATTTGGTTTCAGAGTTAAGCCCTTATTTATATCCTGATCCTTTCAAACGAAAAAGAATTAAACAATGTTCCTAACCCAATTTATTCTTTAAATGAAGCTGAAAGATTAGTTATACGAAGAACGCTTACAGACTTGATGACTTGAATATATATATATATATATATATATATATATATATATATATATATATATATATATATATATATATATATATATATATTTTTTTTTTTTTTTTTTCGTCATTAAAAAATAATCTTTTACAATGTTTTTACAACATAAAAATATAACATTAAAGTTTCGACCGGAGCTGGCAGAAGACGTGGTCTTATTATCCTGCCCCGTTAATATAACTAAAAAATTCAGCCGATGAAAATGAAAAAGGAAAAAAGAAACTAAAGCAAGAACTGATTTAAAAATCAATTTGCTATTTACAGAAAAAAAGATTCTTCTCATTATTATTTTTTTAATTCTCTATTTTATTCTACTTTTATTTTTATTATACACGCACGCACATACGTACACGTACACACAAATATACACGCACGCACACACAAACACAAATATTCAAACGTACACACAAATATATGTCCGTTCATAAATATATACATACAAAATCAAATAAATCTGTTTTATATTTCATCTAGAAATTGTGTAAGATATAATAAATATTGCATTTACAAACTGCGTTATTATCGTAAAATAAGATAATCTCATACAAGTTCTAAGTACCATACAATATAATTAAGATGTTGCGTCGATTTATAAGATATTAAATAAATAAATTATCAAAAGTTTTTAATAATAGGATAGTAATTGCTTTGTATCAAAATC